GTGTGTGTGTGTGTGTGTGTGTGTGTGTGTGTGTGTGTGTGTCACACAATTATCTTGCAGTCTTGAAAGCAAACTTTCTCTGCCCGTCCGTATCGGAGGCCGGGGAGAACAAACAGCCTCTCCAGGAGCCTCATAGAAAATTCAGTCACGTCTGGAATAGGTGAAGCCCAGGAGGAGGCAAATAAACCGCCTCCCCAGGGGAAGATGCTAAACAAAGGACGTTTGCCCCCCCTCCCCCGCAAGAACCAGCACTCCCCAACGACCCAGTCCTGATGTGCTGCTCTCAGGGTTCATTGTCTCACACATCTGGAAGGCGCAACGTTGGAAAGGCCTGCCCTAAAAAGACCCCGTTCACGGCTGGCCATCCTCTTTTGCTTCTTCCTTCCATTTCTGTAGCTGCCCAAATCGACCAAGTGATTCTGGGTGGGTTAAAATTCTAAAACAATCAAAAATATTACCACAGCAAAAACAAATATCCTTTTTTTTTTTCACTGCCACCCTCAGAATCTCAAGTGCTTTTGGGAGGGAGAGAAGAATGACCAGGAAACTGTCCGTTTCTGAATGTGAACCTGCTTAAATTAGTCTTTCTGAACCAAACACAAACCAAATGGTGTTTTAATAGAAAAAAATAAGCCATTTCTCCCATTTTGGTGCAGTTCTCCATCGCCAAACAGCTGGAGGAAAACGGACTACTGTGTATTAGTTAACACAGGAAAGAATGGGGTTTTTTTGGGGGGGGGTTGCAAGGTAGGCGAATATTCTGAAAAAGGCCACGAAAAAGATAAACGAGAAAGGTCTATTTTGGGGGTGATGCCATGAGAAGAAAAGGAATCACATGTGGTTGGAAGGACAAGGAGTAGAACCGAGGAGAAATGCTTGGGAGAATCCAAACCACTTCCAGCTGCTTTGTTCTCCCAGGACAGAGGTCACCCTCATGCCCCAGTTGGGATCCTGGAGCTGCTGGTCCAAGAACGTGGCTTCTCTCCAGAAGAGGCTGGAAACACCGCTGTCTGGTGCTCATCATTAATACCTGTCCTTTTTGGAGCAAATTTAGCGGCCCCTGGCTTGAGCGGTCATATTCTCCAGGGCCCCTGGGGGACCCATCCACTTCCTGTCCGGGAAGGGATCCTGAGCTCTTCCTGCAGCCCAGTTGCCCCTCTGCCTGGGCGAGGCCTCCTCCTCCCCTCCTCCTCCTCCTCTTCATCCTTTGGGCCGGCTCTGAGAAGGAAGAGTTGTGAGTCACCTGAGAAAGTGCAGAGAAGAGCAACCAAGAGGATGAGGGGACTGGAAGCTAAAGAATAGGAAGAAGGGATGCAGGAATTGGGGTGTCTAGTTCAGGGGTCCCCAAACTTGGCCACTTTAAGACTTGTGGACTTCAACTCCCAGAATTCTCCCACTGGAGAATTCTGGGAGTTGAAGTCCACAAGTCTTACAGCTGCCAAGTTTGGAGACCTCTGGTCTACTTTAATAAAAAGAAGGACGAGGGGAGACACGATAGCAGCCTTCCAGTGTTTGAGGGGCTGCCCCAGAGAAGAGGCAGTCAAGCTCTTCTCCAAAGCCCCCAAAGGCAGGACAAGGAGGAACAGTTGGAAACTGAACAAGGAGAGATTCAACCTGGAAATAAGGAGGAATTTCCTGACAGAACAATTAGCCAGTGGAACGGCTTCCCTCCAACACTGGAGGTTTTCAAGAAGAGGCCGGAGAGCCGTTGGTCCAGAATGGTAGAAGATCTCTTGCTTGGACTAGAAATAGCAAGAGCACTTCCACTTATACACTGCTCCACAGGGCCTCTCTAAGAGTCAGCCTCTGGCCCCCAACCATCTGGGTCCTCATTTGACCCACCTTGGAAGGACGGAAGGCTGAGTCAACCTGGAGCTGGTCAGGATCGAACTCCTGGAGTGAGCAGTGAGTTCACCTGCAGTCCTGCATTCTAACCACTGCGCCACCAGGGCTCCAAGGCCCCTTCTAGCTCTCTTCCTCTCCTTGCTCCCTCTGGGCATTGCCTGATCCGAAGGCCAGGGGCTCGGCTGTGCCAGATGCCCACGAGGGGCTCGCCCACTGGGGCTGGGGTCTCAGGACCGGAGGGCTCCTCTCGGATCTTTCCCAGCCCGCCTTCCCCCTGCAGGTGACCAACGATGAGATGTGTGAAGTGTGCGAGGTGTGGACGGCCGACAGCCTCCTGGCCTGCCGGGTGTGCACCAAGGTCTACCACGACGGCTGCCTGCAGCGCATGGGGCTGCTCTCCCCGGCTGAGCCCTCCGAGGCCATCCAGGCGGCCCACTCAGCGGTTGGCTGGAGCTGCTACCACTGCGTAAGTCGTGGGGCTGGGAGGGGGCCAGGGAGGCCGCGGTGGGCTGGAGGAGGCCACGGCCATTGCCAGAGAAAAGGGGGAGGGGAGGGGAGGGGCAGGGCTGCAAAACGGCATGGGAAATCTTGCCTGGGGAATGGGTGGGGCGGGGGAGGCTGCTCTCTAACCCATCCAGAAGGAAAGCGGGTTTGCAAAACCGCCCAGATGCCCACGGCCCCTGGGCCACAAAGGGGGCTCGGCAGGCACCCTCCTTTCCCACCCACTGTGGGGAAAACACGGCTAATTGGGACCGGCTGTGTTGTAACCAGGGTTGGGCTGCTACTGGTTTTCCCTGGTTCCGGCAAACCGGTAGCTAATTTTATCCTTTTTAATTACCGGTTCAGTGAACCAGTAAAATCCCACCCCTGGCTGGCCCCGCCCACCCCGCCCCTCCTAGGAGTCTCCCTGTGGCCCGTTTTGGATGCAGGTGAGTGCAGGGCACCCGCAGAGGCTCGGGGAGGGTGAAAAATGGGCCTCCCGGAAGTCCCGGAAGGCCGGAAATGGGCCCGTTTCCAGCTTCCAGAGAGCCTTCGTAGCCCGCGCAGGCCGCTTTCACCCTCCCGGAAGCTCAAGGAAAGCCTCCGGAGCCCAGGGAGGGCAAACCCCGCCCACCGTAGGGCAGGAGGCCGACTAGGCCACGCCCACCCAGCAACCGGGCAGAGAACCCCTTGCTGAAATTCTTGAAGCCCCTCCCCCAGTTGTAACTCCACCCCTTCCCTTCTTCCGGGCAGGATAACCTGAACTTGCTGCTCACCGAAGAGGAGATGAACTCGCTGTCCGATGCCTTCCGGCAGAGCAACATCGCGCCTGGTAAGGCTGCCCACCCAACCTGTTGAGGGCAGAGGGGGAGCACTGGCAGAGGGGCATGTCAGCCCATTGGGGTCTTCTTCACAGGGTGGAGCACCCTCCCCATCTGCTTCAAGAAGGGGTTGATGCCAGACCGTCCTGGGATTCCATCTTTTTACTACTAGTTCTGTGGGCCTGGCTTGGTGGGCGTGGCTTGTAGGCATGATGGGGCTGGTGGGTGTGGCTTGGTGGGCGTGGCTTGTAGGCATGATGGGGCTGGTGGGTGTGGCTTGGTGGGCGTGGCTTGTAGGCATGATGGGGCTGGTGGGTGTGGCTTGGTGGGTGTGGTTTGGTGGGCGTGGCAGAGGAAGGATACTGCAAAATCCCCCTTCCCTCCCCACCCCACTAACCTGCTTTCCAGCTCCGTTCTCCTGGGCAGGGCAACCGAAGGAGACCCAGCCGATCAGCTGGGACTCGATGGGAGGCAGAGAAGAGACGGGGGTGGCGGGGACAGTCAGAGGCCGGTTCTCCCAACCACTCCAAATTTCCGCTCCTGGTTCTCCAGAAGTGGTCAGAACCGGCTGAAGGCCACCTCTGAGGCCGGGGGAGGATTGGTCCCCAAACCCCAGACTTAGCCAAGACACGAAGGGGGAGACATGGGGAGGGGCTTCCTCTTCCGTGGGAGGATAGAGCACTGGGGCGGCTCCTGCGGGGGGGGGGTTTCTGCCCGGGGGGGGGCCAGGCGGCAAGGGCCCCCCTCTAACCGTGACTTGGGGGGGGCTGTTTCCACAGACAGCAGCCTGAGCCTGGAGGACTTCTTGCGCTACAAGGGCCTCGGGGGGCAGCCCAGCAGCCGGGAAGAAAAGGAACGGCAGGCCCAGCAGTTTCGGGCCCTGGACCCCGGGCAGAAGGGCCGCGTCGCCTGGACGGACTTCCTCTCCCACGAGTCCCTGGTGCTGCTGCAGAGAACACGCACGCAGGTGGGGGGGGCTACAGAGAGGGAAGGAAACACACCCCCCTCCACGTCAGAGCGGCTCAGCTACCAGGCTTGGCCCAACCCTGAGGCTGAGTTGGGGGGTGGGAGAAGGCCTTGTGAAGACGCACCCGCCCCCCTCCAAAAAGAAGTGAGGGGTCTCCAGGGCCCCTTTAAGGCTTGTGGACTTCAACTCCCAGAATTCCTCAGCGAGCTTTGCTCCCTGGGGAATTCTGGGATAAAGTGGCCGAGGTTGGAGAGCCCCTGCTTTGCTTCCCTCCCCAGAAGGGTCTGCTGCACCTGCTGACGGGCAAGGAGAGGGAGCGGGCGCGGGAAGCCTTCCTGGCCCTCAACCAGCACGGGGATGGGCTCATCAGCCGGGACCAGAGCCGGCGCGCCCAGCATGCTTGGTTCCGAAAACGGCCTCCGGGTTCCAGCGCCAGGTAAGACCCCAACACCGCACCAACACTGCACTATACAGCAGGATTCAAAAGAGCTACTACCCTGGGATAGAAGCTGTTTTTCAGCCTATTTGTCCTTGTTTTTATTATTATCCTGTACCGTCTGCCAGATGGTAATAGTTCAAAAAAAGGGTTCCCAGGATGAGATGGATCTTTGAGAATGTTTTGAACTTTCTTAAGGCAGCGGGATTTATAAAGCTCTTCCAAAGAGGGGAGAGGGCAACCAATTGATCCTCTGGGCCATGACATTCACCCTCTGGAGCGCTTTCCTATCTGCCCCTGTGCAATTGGCAAACCCTACAGAAGTGCAGTGAGTTAAGATACTCTCTATGGTGCAGTGGTAGAAGGTCACCAGCAGTTTCTCATTCAGTTGTTGTTTCCTGAGAAGCTTCAGGTAGTATAATCTCTGCTGGGCCCTTCTGACCAGGGCTGCAATGTGGGCACCCCAGGTCAGGTCCTCTTTTAGGGTAACACCCAGAAACTTAAAACTGGCCACTTGCTCCCCTCGGTCTCCATGGATAAGCAAGGGCTGGAGGTCTGGTCTGTTCCTTCTATAATCCACTATAAGCTCCTTGGTCTTATTGGTGTTGAGAACCAAGTTGTTGTCTCCACACCACGAAAGCAACCGGTCCACCTCATCTCGGTAGGCAGACTCATCCTCCCTCCCAGAGATACGTCCCACCACTGTTGTATCATCTGCTCCTGTCCCTTTGCTCCTCCTTTATGTCTTATGGGAGGGCCAATTACTTCCAAGCCTTACTCCTGAGTGGCCCCTTTTGTCTGAACTATTCTTGCCTTCTGGCAGCTCTGTGCAAGCGCGTACTGGGAACAGGCTCCCCTTCTTCCTCTTCCTCGCTGCTGTCAGATTCTGGAGGCTCCGGAGTCAGCAACCCACTCCCAAATGGCCCCATCTCTGTGTTGGATGCAGGACCCTCGTCCAAGCCCTCCCCAGACTCCCGGACTGACCCGTGTTCCTCCCCACTGTCCGACTCTGCTGCCATCTCCACAGGCTGCCGGAGGGTCACGACACCTGGCAAGCTGCCCCCTAACCTCACAGTACTCGGTCCACTTGGCCGGAGGTCTCCAACCTTGGCAATTTCAACTCCCAGAATTCCCCAGCCAGCATGGCAACATTAAGACTTGGAAACTTCATCTCCCAGAATCCCTCACTTCTGGGAGTTGAAGTCCACCGGTCTTAAAGTCGCCAAAGTTGGAGAGCCCTCGCTTGAGAGCCCCCAGGGCCGCCAAGGCTGGGATGACCATCAAAGCAGGGTGGGAGGCAGCTGGAGACACAGCTGGGCCAAGCAAGGCAAGGCCACTTTGTGCCCAAGACGTCAGGACATACGGGCATCCTCGACTTACGACCGGTCACTTAGTGACTCTTAGAAGTTACTATGGACCCCCAAAAAGGTTCTTCAGACCCAGTTCTGAGGTTCTGACTGATGCCCCCCCCCCATCCCACAGTAGTGTGACTGTGTCGTGGTTACTTGGCAACCAGTTCACATTTCCAGCTGTTCCCACAGTCGCATGACTGCAATTTAAAACATTTTTGCCAAAAGCCGGCATTTATTCCATTAAAACAGCAGTGGTTTCATTTAATGACTGTTGCGTTTGCTTAATGACCACCACAAAAAAATGTCCTAAAATGTAGTTGGTCACCTGTTGACCTTCTTTACAACGGTCGTAATATATGACCGTAATTGCCAGGCTCAATTTTGATCTCAGGTTGAGGACTAGCTGGAATCAAGGCAGAAGCTGTCAACTCCTAAAACATTTCCATGCCCGTTTCAGGGTTGCCACGAACAGAAGTTGGGAGGGGAGGAAATTCGAAGGGGGCAATGCAGCAGTTTGGAACCGAAAGTGCATTCCATTCATATCTTGCAAAGATAACTATAACCAGGCAACCGGAGTTTCTGCCCACAAAAACCTCTAATTGGAGAACGTGATTGAGAATATGAATATGAATTCATCTTTTGGAGAATATGAATTACGGTGCACCCAAAAGAGTGGGGGAAAACCAGGGTCAAGGGTGACAGTGAATTACGTGTCTGGCAGAAGAGAGGCGTGGTTTCTTTGTGGGGGAGGTCACCCTGATTCCCCCCCCCCCCCCGCCAGCTGAGCAGCACATGTGGGAGAAGCCTTCATATCCATCCACCCCCCAAATGCTGGGATGACTTGTGGCCAATGAGATGATCCAGTCGGCCTCTCTCCGGACTATTCCCCTCCCCTAATGCTGGGCCTGGGTCTGTGTGTGTCTCTCTTCCAGCGCCAGCCAGGTGGACCCCGTCTCTGAAGGCAACAGCCAAAGGCAGGAGGACAAAGAGCTGCCCAGAGAAGAGCCAGGGGAACCAAGGTAGGCGCTGAGACCCTCCCCCAAAGATGCCCCGGGGCTTCCAGGGAGGGGTCCGGGCAGTGCTGCGTGCCAGGGGTCCTGGCCAAAGAACCTCTGGGTGTCCATACTCTCCCTGGACTGCAACATCCATTGAGAAGGGCTCTCTCCCCTCCCCTACAGTGAAAGCTTCCCCTGTGTCGTAAGCAAGCCCAAGTTCCTTTTAAGAGCCGTGGTGGCACAGTGGTTAGAGTGTAGTATTGCAGGCTCCTTCTGCTGACTATCAGCTGCCTGCAATTTGGCAGTTCAAATCCCACCCGGCTCAAGGTTGACTCAGCCTTCCATCCATCCTTCCAAGGTGGTTAAAATGAGGACCCAGATTGTTGTTGAGGGCAAGAGGCTGACTCTGTAAACCGCGTAGAGAGGGCTGGAAAGCACGGTGAAATGGTATATCATAAGTGCTATTGCTAAGTGGGAAGGGAGGGAGGGAGGGAGGGAGGGAAGGAAGGCTTGTGGTGGCGCAGTGGTTAGAATGCAGTATTGTAGGCTAATCCACTGCCCACAGCCAAGAGTTCGATCCTGAGCAGCTCCAGGTGGACTCAGCCTTCCATCCTTCCATGGTGGGTAAAATGGGGGCCCAGGTTGTTGGGGGCAAGAGGCTGACTTTGTAAACTGCTTAGAGAGGGGTATAAAGCACTGTGGAGCGGTATATAAGTCTAAGGGCTATTGCTATTGTTATTACAAATTGAAATAATAAGCAAAAATGAATGGATTCTACCTGGAGAATCCAGAAGAGCAACCAGGTGCTGGTACAGAGCTCCAACCAGCCCCGTTGGCCAAGGTGCTCAAAGTGAGGAAGGTAGAAATATGGTGTTCTTCTCAGAGGGTTGCATTGCCAGCCGACCATTCTCCTGGTACCATCTGGGGTGCTTTTAGCTGTGGTGCCAAGAAGGTGCCCATTTCCACCAGCCCTGTAGAAGGGGGGACCACTTCCCCAAATCAAGAAACGCCCCAAATCAAGAAATGCAGGATTTAAGTAGCCTTTTGTGTTAAGGATACTGGATAATGTTACTGGTGAGTATTTCTGTTAAGGAAGTATTTCTGATGAGGCCAGTGAAGTCAGATCTCTGGGGAGGTATGGATTTTAGCAATATTTCTAGCCTCTGCCCTGATCCTGAAGGACTCTGGGCAGTGAATCATAAAGCTTAGATCGGGAGTTTAGACCAGGGTCCCCAAACTTTTTAAGACTTGTGGAAAGTTTTGATCAGGGGTCTAAAAGTTTCAACCAGGGTGTCCCCAAATTTGGTTTAGTCCAGGGCTCTCCAATCTTGCCAACTTTAAGACTTGCAGACTTCAACTCCCAGAATTCTCCAGAGCAACGTCGGCTGAGGAATTCTGGGAGTTGAAGTCCACAAGACTTGAAAGTTGCCACGGTTGGAGAGCCCTGGTTTAGACCAGGTGTGTAGGAAAACAGGCAGGAAAAACAGGGAAGACACAGTTTCGCACCCAAATTCCAAATCAAATGAACAATCTAGCTAACCGAGCTGCTTGCGTTACCCTGGCTTAGCCACTCTGGCCCTCAGCACAGGATCGCGGCACCTGGCAGAGAAAGCAGCCGCTGAGCGATTGTCTGGGTCTCCTCCAGCCTTGATGTTGGCAGGCAGAGCCATCAACTGCTCTCCTTTTCATCCCTTCTCCCAGTTTGTGGAGCAAGAAGGGTGATTGAAAAGCATCCCCTTTGGGGAGACCGACAGCTGCTTTGCCCAATCGGGGGAAACGATGCAGTCAGCAGTTCAACATTTATTCTGCAGCCAAATCCACTTTTTCTCTAACGACTTCTGGTGGGCTGAAAAAGAGCCAGCCTTTACAAAGGGCCTTCTAGAAGAGGTTTTTAGGCAAGCAAACCTGGACTCCATTTATTGGGGTGTCTTCAGGGGTGGGATTCTACCGGTTCTGGCCAGTTCTATATAGAACCAGTAGCTCCAAAGAGCAGCTGACATCGAACCGGTTCTCTCTGAAGATCTTATTTTCTTCGGTTGGGCCCCCCGGGCTCTAGGCTGTCCTTTATTCTTACCTTAGTGGTTTCGCGCAGCCCAGCTGAGTGCCACGTGTCAGCAGGTGATGGTGTTTGCTTGCAGGGGAAGTTGTTTTGCAAGTACTGTGCGTGCGCACACAGCACGCGTTTGACGCGCACTCACCGAACCAGTTATGCCGGTAGGATCCCACCCCTGGGGGTCTTGTCAGCTTACGAAGTGCTTTAGGAGGTGCTGTGGATTCATAGAATATGTCAGAGCATTTGCAGCATGACTGCTATTATGAGACAACCCAGGAGCCAAACACAGCACACACAGGCTTAGAGATTTACCAGTGGTGGTTTATATACTATACGTGTTAGGCAAAATACCTTACAAGCAATCAAACTTCTTCTTAACTCTTCTTAACGCACGGACAACTCTGCAATGAATACCGGACACAAGGAGAGAAAACACGCCCTCTAATGGCTGCTTTACATAAACTTCTCCTAAAGGGATATAGACCCTATCCCCAGCCTTAAAGGAAAATACCCATGCTATGCTGATTCGTTCTTATTTCATAAGCCTTACAACTGCATCACACTTACAGCAGCTGGCAGCAATTACTGCTGCTCGTCAGCTCTTAAATCTTAATACCTCAACAGGATAAGACTTAGAATAACTTCATTGTCACTTTGAATGTACACTAATAAGCGTAGATTAAAATGAAATTTTATTGCATGCAGCTCTGAAAGGGTCTCCACCGCCAATATACACTACATAAATATGACTCCATTAATTGATTAATTAAAATATATGCATATAACCGCACATATTCTATGACACGGAGAAACAACACGGTCTGTGTGCATGTCCATGGTGAGAAAAACAAACCTTGCCAGTTTGCCAGATGGACAAAGCTGTTCCAGAATGTGTAGTCCTGCGATAGATACCTCGAAACCTTCTCCCAGAGGGGAGCAACTAATATTGAATATTAGGTAGTTATCCTAGCACCCCACCTTCCTGACCATAAGAACAATTCATCAGTGGAACAACTTGCCACCAGAATTTGTGGGTGTTCCATCCTTGGAGGCTTTTAAGAAGAGGCTGGACAGCTACTTGTCTGGAATGATATAGGATCTCCTGCTCAGTCAGGGAGTTGGACTAGAACAGTGGTCGCCAACCAGTGGGCTGCAGACCACCAATTTTGGTGGTCCGCAGAGAAATCTCCCCCCCTCCAAAGCAATTAATCCAGGCTGCGCGGGAACACAAGGCTGTGCCACCCACATGGCCTGCGGGAACACAAGGTTTGCGTCGCTTGCATTGCGAACAACATGAGGTAGTGAAGGGAGGGGGGAAAGGGCGGAAGGGGGGAATTTGCCCCACTCACCCCACGCGCCTGGCCTGGCCACTGGGCTGCTTCTTTCCGCTTCTTTCTTTTTCTGCTTTTGGCTGCAGGCAAGGAAAGCAGCCAAAGTCTTTCTTTGGTCATCCTGGAGCAGCTCCTCCAGTCCATGGCAGGCCGGTGCAGCCAGGTGAAGGAGCAGCCGCTCCAGGATGACCAAAGGGCCAGTCCTGGGACTCCAGCAGCTCTGGAATAGGGGACCGACTTTCCCACCAACGTCAGCAAGCCCCCGTCAGTCCAAATTCATATGAGTGGTCGGTGGAATTTAAAACTATGAGTTTGGTGGTCCCTGAGGTCCAAAAGGATGGCAACCCTCTGTTATTCTGTTAATTAGTCAGACAAATGGCCTGGCTTCAGAAGTTGTGGCCGCTCCAGCATTGGAGGCTTTTAAGAAGAGGTTGGACAGCCACATGTCTGGAACGGTATGTGAGTCTTCTGCTCCAGCAGGGAGTTGGACTAGAAGACCTCCAAGGTCCCTTCCAATTTTGTTCTTCTGTTACGCTGAGCCAGGACAGGCGGATCAGTCAGCCTGGAGGCCAACATTTCACGAGCAGAATCCCCACTTCCAGCCACGCGTGGAATGCCTCTCTTCCCGTGGCCGCTTCTTCTACCTTTGGGGCCTGCTGGCGAGAGGAGTCAGCGCTGGCAATCAGCTCAGCCTCGTTAGGGAGTTGAGACGAGACACCAGCGTTGCCATGGGAACAGTTGGCAGGGGAGTACGCCATGAGTCTTTGGAGGCGTGGGAGGGATGGCACCTGGCTCAGCCGGGCAGCCGTGGTCAAGAAGGAGGCAGGTAGGGAAAGGGCTCCCTGCTGGAGCTGCGAATCTGCGGTCAGGGAGGCACCCAGGGAAGGCTAGACTGCCCCGCTGTCCGATTCCTCCTGCCACCCGCCTGCCGTTTGCATTGTGGGCACTGCCGGCTCACCCACTCAGGCCTGGGGAAGATCCACAGGGGACATGCAGGGATGCCAGCCTCCATTCCTCCAGGCACCGAAGGCCTTGCCAAGCACCCGGGCGCTCTGGAAAAGGCAGGGCCCTTCCCGATGGCCTGGTTGGGCAAGAGAAGCGTGCAAAGTACGAAAGCCAGGATCTGTGTTTGGTCTCCAGCAAAAATTTCGGGTGCACCTTCCTTCGTCTTGGCGGAGATAAATCCATCAAAGTTGAATCAAAGTCTAAGATGAAGAGCATCTGGCTGGGCCACTCCCGGAGCACCAAAGAATCCCGAAGAGAGTTGGGTTTTTTTTGTTAAATTAAGGAGTCCTTTAGTTCAGGGGTCTCCAACCTTGGCGACTTTAAGGCTGGAGGACTTCAACTCCCAGAATTCCCCAGCCAGCTTCCCTGTCTTCCTTCCCCCTCTTGGCCGGACATAAACTGGGCAAAAACGATTTATGTTCCCAGCCAGCAAAATGGCGTCCTCCATGCGCTACCCCCGATGCGCCTCTGCTGTTGCCACGTGTCCCTCCCTCATCTGCCCACTGATATTTTAAGCAATCAGGCAGACGTCCCACACCTTGACCTGAGTTCTACCCCAAGGAGACGCTCTCGGACCAGAGACCATCTTGCAAATCGAGTTGGCCGCATCTGCCAGCCGTGTGTGGCAGGAACCAAAAAGGCGATCCTGGGTTGTGTAAACGGAGCCATAAGATCCAAATCACCTGATATATTAGTTCCACTTTATAAAGCCTGAGTAAGGCCACACCTGGAACGCTGCATCCAGTTTTGGTCACCCCATTACAAAAAAGTGGTTGAGATTTTGGAAAACATGCAAAGAAGAGCAACTAAGAGGATTCAAGGCCTGGAGACCAAAACACATGAAGAACAATTGCAGGATTTGGGCTTGGCTACTCTAGAGGAAAGAAGGACCAGGGGGGGCGCATGATAGAAGCATTCTAGTAACTGAGGGGCTGCCCTAAAGAAGATTTGGGGGTCAACTTATTCCCCAAAGCACCTGAAGGCAGGACAAGAAACAAGGGATGGAAACTAACCAAGGGGAGAACCAGCCTAGAATGAAGGAGAAATTTCCAGACAATGAGAACCATTAACCAGTGGAACTCCTTGCCACCAGAAGTTGTGGGTGCTCCATCCCTGGAAGGTTTTCAAGAAGAGACCAGACAGCCACTTGTCTGGAATGGTATGGGGGTCTCCTTCTTAAGCAGGGGGGTTGGACTAGAAGACCTCCAAGGTCCCTTCCAGATCTAATCTGATTGAGGGGCATGCCGTGTGCTGACAGAGCCCAGGGGGTTGATTTTTCCTTAAATTACAGATATAAGGAGTCTGGTAGCACAATTTCCAACAAAAGAACACATTAAAAAGTTTCTTTTCATTAAAAAAAATACCTACCTTTTGTGGTAAGTTCCTGGGAGAGCAAGAGAGAGGGGGGAGGGGAGGGAGGGAGGGAGGAGGCGGCCCCGGGCCAGTCCCAGCTCCCCAGCCTCAGGCCACGGGGCATCACTCAGGTTGGGCCCTGCTTGGCTTAGCCAGCCTCCCCTTCACCTCTGGTGGCCCCAGAACTGCTTTTCCAAAAGATGGCTGGGCTCCCTTGGTTTCTTCCTTCGAAAACGTTTCCCTTCTCACCCGACAAACTTCTTCAGTTCTAACTGGCTTTATTTCCCCACTTCAGTTCCGATAGAACTGAAGAAGCTTCTTGGAGGAGAAGCGAAATGTTTTCGAACAAAACAAAAACCACAAGCCAAGGAAGCCCCTTTGGGGACCCTCACCCTGCTTGTCCTCTGCTTTGCCCCCAGCAGGTCCGTCACCTGGCCGGCCTTCCTGAGAGAAAGCACCGTCTACATCCTTGCTGCCCGGCCCAACAGTGCCGCCATCCATCTCAAGCCATTGATGTGAGGCCGTTTGGCGGAGCCAGGAGAAGGGAGCCCAAAAGGAGGAAGGAAGGAAGGAAGGAAGGAAGGAAGGAGCTTCTTGCCCTCGCGACAGACGCTGGACTGGCTGCCCCAAAATTGCCGGAGGCCCCCCGGGAGCTGCCACCCCCTGCCAGGACAATCGCAGGAGGGCTGAGGGAAGCGCCTTGGCCTTCCGGAGGACTCCGTATACCCTCCTCCTCTCTCCCTCTCTCCCAGTCCCTGCAGCCTCACCAGAATGCGGGCTGAGGGGGAGAGCAACCCCCTTTTCCTCCGTGACTTCAGCCAAAGGGCCAGAGCAGCGTCCAGCTTTCTTCCGTTTCTGCTCCCTTCCTTTGGTGCTGACCTGCGGGAGGGACCCTGAATCCAGGTGTTCCGACAGCATCCCAGCCTCTGGGGATGAAACTGGAGCGTCCATCCCTCGGCCCTCCTCTCCCCTCTTCACAGCGAGGTCAAGCCAGGGGGGAACAGCCTGGTTTCCGACTGGTCAAGATGGATGGAGCTCCGTGGCTTTCTGGCTTGGAATGGCAGGCAGGGAGGGAGAGAAACCGAGGGCAGCATCCCTGCAGACTCCGGTTTCTGGCTGGCCAAGGAAACCAGGCGCCACTTGCTGGCTTATTTTGGCCCTCCAGTGGACCCGAAGGCCTTCCTCTTCTGGGTGGGGGGGCTTCACCCACCCTTCTCTTCCCTGGGGCTTCTTCCTGGTCTTGGCCACTTGGTCTTCCTAAGGAAAGGGGGCGGCCAGGGGGTTTCCTGTGTGCTGGTCCAGCCTTGCTCCCAAAAAGAAAACTGCCTTTGCCACCTTGGAGGATGCCCGGTCTACCCCGCACAGTCGGCCAGGGGCACGTTCAGCGTTTCCATTGCCCCCACCCACCCTCTCCTTCCCTCGCCATCCCAGGAGGAGCCGTGACTATTTCATGTCTCAGTAAGAGCCGCTTTTCCTTCGGGGAGCGCCTCTCCTGGAGCTGAGCCCCGACCTCCCGAGAAGGGGTCTCCTGCCAGGGCCGCAGCGTTGCCAGCCAGGGAATTCCCCCCCCCCCCCGCCGGCCTGGGCTTGTCTGCCTCCAAGAATCAAAGCCCTGCTCCCACATGATCCATCCCGGGCTTTCCTGCCCTTCCTCCAGCCTCTGGGAGGAGGGCTTGGAGAGTTGTGGAAATCCTGCACTGTGTTTGGGGGAGGGGGAGGGAGGGGCTTAGAGACCTTCCCCATCTGCATGCAAATAATGGGGACGGGGAGGGGGCATATTGGATTCCCAGGCCCCCCCACCGCCAGAGCCAAGGGGCGGGGCAGGCTGCCTGTTGTGCTCCTTTGGAACATAGAACAACCGATGGGGACGGGGACCTTGGAGGTCTTCTAGTCCAACCCCCTGCTCCAGCAGGAGACCTTCTATCACCCCGGACAAATGGCGGTCCTGTGTGTGCTTGGAAACCTCCAGGGATGGAGCAGCCACGACTCCTGGTCTGGCTGTGGCCGCTTGTTCTGCAGGTCCTGCCAGACCATTCAGCACCCCAAGGGGGAAACCTGACGAATCCCCGCCTGAGGTCCTGGCTGACCCGGTGGGCTTCATCCCCTCGGCGGCCGCCTGCCTGCAGTGGCCGTTCTCCTTTGGGGGGGAGAAGGGGGCTGGGGTTCAAAGGGAAGACAAACCCTCAGATTCAAAGCCATAAGATCGTCCCAGCCTCAGAGAAAACCCTGGTTTGTTGGGAAGCTCCGGGTTACCTGGGGACGGTCTCCTTTCTAGCAAAACGCAGCATTGTGGGGAAGAGGGGCGTCAAACTGGGGTTCATTGAAGGCTGCATCAGGGTTGTGTGTAACCTCGGGCGGGGAGCTGGCCAGCTCAACATCACTCCTATCGGCGGCTGTGACGGCTCAAGTGCTCTGCCAAGGAAAACGGGCGGCTCCCGAGCTCCATTTCCTGCTCTAACGGTCTCCTGCAACCCTCCTGAGCTCCGTTTCCACTGGCAGAGGGTTGCAGGAGGCCACTGCAGCTGAAAATGGAGCTCGGGAGGAGCCCGTTTCCACTGGCAGAAGTACCCCGGGCCGCTCCTTCACTGCGTCCAGGGTGGCCCCGCAGGCCAGATCTAAGCCCCCCGTGAGCCAGGTCCTCCCCATGGGCCTTGAGTTTGACACCCCTGGTGTAGAGGAAATTCCAGACGGTTTGCCTGCCTCCCCATAACCCCAGTGGGAATCTGAGACATGGGTAGTCCCTGGCTTAACAAACATTCATTTAGTGACTGCTCAAAATGACAAGGGCACTGGAAAAAGGGACTTTCACGACTGTTGCAGCATCCTCCTGGTCACATGATCAAAATCCAGACGCTTGGTAACTGACTTATATTTATGACGGTTGCAGAGTTCCGGGGTCACGAGATCCCCTTTTGCGACCTTCTGACAAGCAAAGTCAACGGGGAAGTCAGACCACAACGGCAGTGATTCACTTAGTGACTGTGCCGAGAAAGGTCATAAAACGGGGCAAAACTCACGGCCAACAAAAATTTTGGGGCTCAATTCTGGTCGTAAGCTGAGGACTTTCCTGCACTTCTTCTCTGTTTCTGCTGCTCTGAAGCGGGGCGTCCACAGGGCGTGGTCAGAACTGGGTGATTCCACGTTAAAAAGAAAAGGTGGAATCTGGATCACAGCATCCTGGCCACTCCTAAGCCATCGCCCTCATGTGACCGGAAGCTTCTGTCTCCCGAGGAAACGTTGCCTTGCCTGGAAGGGGGTTTGAGCCCGCGGAGGCCTGGTCGACCTTGCCTCCTCCACTGTGCCTCCTCCTCCTCCTCCTCCTCCTCCTCCCCCCAAGAGCCATGTTGCAGGATGAGGCCAAGAGCCACCTGTCCTCCCAGGGCAACTGAACAAAGACCAAGCAGGACCACCCCAGCCAAGGCCTTGACTGCTGGGAGTGGCAGGCCGGCTGGTGCCCTCCGTCTCCATGGAGACTCCCTGGCATCATAAGGCCAGAAGAAGAAAATCCTTGTGCCTGAACGTCTAACCGAGATTCTCCATCCTCCAGGCCCTGGTTGTCCCAAGGGTGCTTTTTTCCAAGAGGCAACTGGGATTTCTTGCTTTTTTTTTCCCCTTTGAAGATGTTTTGCTTCTCATCCTAAGAAGCTTCTTCAGTTCTGACTGAATGGTGGAGAAGGGAAGGGTTTATATTCCTTAGCGGGTCCTCTGGTCCTTAGCACTCTGGAGGGTTGGTCATTGGCTTTCAAGGCATTGAGGCAGAAGCTTGTCCACCCCGAGGACAAAAGACCCAGACGCAATGGGAGCAGTGGGGTCTATGCAGTGCAGTGCAGCGAGACATGTACAGACCTGTATGTTGGGGAAACACAACAGATAACCAGAGTTGGAAGGGACCTTGTAGGTCATCTAGTCCAACCCCCCGCCCAAGCAGGAGACCCTACACCATTTCTGACAGAGGGCAGGCAAGCCTCTTCTTGAAAGCCTCCAATGATGCAGCTCCCACAACTTCCGAAGGCAACTTCTGTTCCATTGGTTGATTGTTCTCATTGACTGAAAATTTCTCCTTGTTTCCAGGTTGAATCTCTCTCCTTGTTCAGTATCCATCCATTCTTCCTTGTCTGGGCTTTGGGTGCTTTGGAGAATAGATTGACCCTCTCTGTAGCAGCCCCCCAAATATTGGAAGGCTGCTCTCCTGTCTCCCCTGGTCCTTCTCTTCCCTAGATTAGCTATGCCCAGTTCCTGCAACCTTTCGTCGTATGTTTTAGCCTCCAGTCCCCTCATCATCCTGGTTGCTCTTCTCTGCACTTTTTCTAGAGCCTCAACATCTTTTTTATAGTGTGGTGACCAAAACTGGATGCAGGACTCTAAGTGTGGCCTTACTAAGGCTTTATAGGGTGGTATTAGCACCTCAAAACAACCATTTCACAAACACAGGACACAACACAGAAGAACAAAACCATGAGGACAAGACGAAGTCCATTCTTTTGAAAGCAGCAAAGTCCACATTCTGGACAGAGAGGACTGCTGCTTTGAAAGAGGGGTCCAAATGGAACGGCCCTCCCTCAACAGAGGGGGAAGGATACGGCACCACCCACCTCCTGCTTACAACACAGTCCTTTCAGTGGTCCCCAAGAAGGCTCCACACCCATTTGCACCACTCAGGGGACCCTGAGGGCACAGACAAACCTCCCAATGGCCTCAATGACTCTAAAAGGGATGCAAATGACCATCTGTCCGCAAGGAGTAGACATAGAATAGAATAGCAGAGTTGGAAGGGACCTTGGAGGTCATCTAGTCCAACCCCCCACTCGAGCAGGAGATATTCCAAATATTAGCCTCTGCCTAGGATTGAACCTCACAGCCTCCTGTTTGTGAGGTGAGAGCGCCATCCTCTAGGCCGCTGCACTGGACTTTTACACTGGAGTATAAACCTTCCAAATCGTTCCACCAGTCAGTTGGAACGGTAGAAGACACCAAGAAAACCCAACTGCCTTTTGGGGGGGGGAAGCCTCTTTGAGACCCCCAGGCCTCCTCTCCTTCTGTGAAGCCCCCGGGAGCTGTTCCAACCCAAGGGAATCCCTCGGGCCTTGGGATGCTTTGATGCAGGGCTCTCCAACCTTGGCAGTTTTAAGCCCGGGGGACTTCAACACCCAGGCTGAAAGTTTCCAAGGTTGGAGAGCCCTGGTTTGGGGTGTCTGGAGGGCCCCCCGTCAGCCCTGAAACCAGATTGCGCCAGAGGGGAAGAGCACACAGGTCTCACCTCTTGATAAGAGCTCCCCAAAGGTAGGAGAAACAGAAGACCAGCTGACCTGCTGAACCTGAGATGTAGAAGACCAACAGATGTTCGTTGAGAAGGTACTGTATGGCCTTCCTAGTGCGCCCCACTTGTTTCTGGAAGACCCTTTCAGGACTGAGGAGCCCCCCTTTTCACCCAATTCCCCAGAGATGCCTAAATCCCTGAACCAAACCCCAGGGGTCCCCTCCCCTTCCCTCTCAAGAGACCCTGTTCATTCTGTTGTAAGG